CACACTCCTTAAACCTTGCTGCTCACCTTCACCACTCCTCAAGGTGCAGTAAGGACCTTTATGTACATCATTATGCCCCTTTACGTGCATTATTATGTCCCGTTAGCAGGAGGGCCAGCCAGGCTGGGGGGTTGTTCACTCTCGGGCACAGCATGCCGCCTGGTGCTGTGGGGCAGACAGCAATCCCGTGGGAGCAGGGACCCTTCCTGGCACCTTCACCGGCTCTGCCCGCTGCTCAAGCCCAGAGCAGCATTGCAGGGGCTCAGGGAGCCAGGGCTGAGGGCCTGAGTGTGCTGGGGGAGGTTTTATGGCTCCCTGTGCCATCGCCGTGCCCCAGGCACTCATGCTGTACTGCTCAGCACTGCAGGTGGGAAAGAAAATAGATAATTTAATACTGTAAGTTGGGAGATGAAGGAAAGCCCAAACAGCGAAACAAAAAAGCCTGATTAGCTGAAACAAGTTGCACAGGAGAACAGCCCCACCATGGGTCTGAGCCGAAGCCCCTCAGCAAACCCCCCCATGCGCCTCCAGCAGCTTCACCCCCACCCTGAGCATCCTTCACCTGCCGAGCCCGGGAGCAGGAGCTGCCCACGCCAGCTCACTGGCCATAAGGACCGTCTCACGGGCGCCCTCCACCCCGCTGTTTACATACTTTAAACTTCTGAAGAAAGTGGAATTCCATTCATGAGCATTTATCACTATGGAGATACTCGTCAGGACTTGCTCAGTGTTTCCCTATATGCCCTGAACTAACCTTCTGAAAGGAATACAAGTATTATGTTATCCTTTCCAACGGAGAGGTTATTTTTGTGCATCATCCACAGCTGTTATTAGCCAACCGAACTCTTGTAATGATACAACCTGGTTCATGATGAAGGAGTCATTCCCATTTTTCACAGCTAGGTGCTTCCCAGGCAGAATACACTGGGAATGAGTAAGGGATGTGCCACCCTTGTACAGCTTGCTGGCACTTAAAACAGTATCTTTGCCCCCACAGACAGACTATATGCAACTGCCTATTATTCACGTGGCATTAGAGAGCAAAGCATCAGCTGTGCCAGAATCCTAAACCTGTCACTCACCAGCCCCGCGTAAATCAGAGGCTCTATCAGGCTGATTATCTCTGCATGTAAAGATTTGAAAATACATAAATTAAGATTTTACTCTAAGCATAGGTGGCTTACAATGCTTTCTTAAGGATCAGATAGACCTCGCCATAGCTAAACATTACAGCGGCTGCTGATTTCTTAATCCATTCTCAACATGAGCATTTCTCAGTTGTTAAGCCTGGTGTGAAAGAAGCCTTTCACGGTCAAAAAATCCCCCAAGAGGAAAATATACAGCCCACATTTTCAGGCCATGGTGCATGAGCTGGGCACAGGCTTACCTGCCACAAAACCTGCTCAGCCAGAGGGGTTTGCAGGCAGATTACAGAGCTCTGCGCTTAATTTCTTCTTATTTAAAATCTGCGTGGTTTTATGCGTCTGCATTGAAAAATGTCTCCCATGCCTCTGACTGTAACTAATAATTTACCACAGTAGATAACTGGCCAGTGGAAGAAGCAGGAGTGAGGGTTTTGAGACTGAAGAGGAATGGTTGGTGGCTGGGTTTTGTGGGCTGGGTGTCACAAAGCGAGGCTTTCCAGTGCCGCCTGTAAGGCATCCCCTGCCGCCAGCACAGTAAATAATCTTCAATCTAATTCCACAGATTGCAGCAAGGGCTGCAGCTCCACGGTTTATTAATTAAGACGTTTAACTTACTTATTTTAAGCCTCAAATGTACCTACACTTCTCTTTATGGACTCCATGGGGCTACTTGTCCCTGATGTTAAGTATTACAGCACACAGAGTCAGGGCATGGATTCATTTATCAATGAATTCATTGAAATAATGCAAAATTTCTGCCCGTTTATTTTTCAGGTGAGATCCCAGGTGTGCAGGAGCCAGGCTCAGAGGAGCTGCACCCCACACCGTGCTGTGTTTGCCCTTCAAACCTGGGGGTGTGTGTCCCCCATGCCACGCAGGGCCTCTGTGGGTGGGGACGGAGCCCAGCAGCCTGTCGTGCTTCAGCAAACCTATAAAACCCACCACGTCCTTCTGGCGAGACCCCCATAACACCATTCAAGCCCCAGCCGGACCCCCAGGATCAGCTCCCCATGCTCAGCGTTAACCAGTAGGTGAACAGGAAAGCTGGCAGAGCTCCTTTCTTTTTTTTTTTTTTTCCCCAAATAAATGCCTACCAAAAAAAATGGTTAAACAATAAAAGGAATATTTAGTGCAAAGATATTTCACCATCCGCCTGTCCCCCGCCTCCTGCCCCCAGTCAGCAAGTGGCTTCTGCCCGAGCCCCACGCACCGGAGCACGGCAGGAGCTGGAGGAATTGTTCACACGCAGCAAAGACCCGGGGGTAGGGCTGGGCTCTGTGGGATTTGGGGATGCCAGGAGGAGCTGGAGCCTGGGATGGTGGGAGCCAGGTAGGGACCCCTGTGCCTGTGCCACCTGTGGGTGCCCACAGCAGCTGAGGGTGCTGGGGGGGTGAGCCGGCACAGCTCCGGCTGGGCAGCTGCCCGCACACCAAAAAAAAAAAAGCACCAGCAGCAGCCTGCAGAAATAATCGCTCCACGTGGTTTTGAGGTTTGGAGAAAATCAAAGACAAAAGGAAATGGCAGGCAGGCTTCGCTGGAGCATGAGAAGGCAAACAAACCCTGTGGGTTTTGTGACTTGTTTTTCTTAGGGAGCTTTAAGAGAGTGTTTGCAATCGCTGGGAACGAATTCCTAGAAATGAGAAGCTGTTATTATTCATAATGCAATGCCTTCGCAGGCAGGGCTGGGAGGACTGAGCCGTGCTGGGCAGACTCCTTGCAGGCACTGCCCATCCCAGGGACATCGGCCACCCCTGCAAGAGCAGAACAGCTCTCAGCATCAACCGATCGGAAAATTCACGCTCGCCTGGTACAGAGACCAGCTCTCCTCCGTGTGCACAGCAAGAAGCAGATGATTAATTTAGAAGACTAACAAGAAACTGTCTGAGAAAGGGCTAAATCCCATTTAGCCAGAACCACACAGCGACCTGGGCGCTTAAAACAGGTTATTCCAGGCATTTTCACAGCGGCACAAGACGGAGCGTGCTGGGCTGTGCAGGACAGCTCGCACGGCACAAGGGGACTGAGCAGGGCTCGCTTGGAGCCTGGTCACCGTGCCAGGCTGCAGGTATCACCCCAAAACGTAAACCAGGGTCCCCTCTGTGTCACTAGGGATGCTTTGTGGGAGGACAGACAGGCTGTTTATTAAAAGGGGGTGTGTTGGGGGGGGGGGGGGGAATCTTCCCTGTTAAAATGCAGTGTTAAAATCGCAGTTAAAAAATGACAAAGTCAGGAAAAGCAACCGCTTAAAGTTGCAAAACCAACACTGCACATCCTGTTTGTTTTATAGCCACATCGAACATCCTGTATGTTTTATGGTTTACATTTTACAACGTAAACAGTCGTATATTAAGCTACACAGTTAACCAAGAGAAAAACACAGGAGTAAAAAAATGCCATGTGCAAAGCAAGCAGGTCAGTACGGCTGTTGACACCGAAACCTCGGAATTTGTGGGCTTTATGTAATTTTTACTGTGCAACTCTTAACACAGTTCTTTTAATTTCATTTCTGGTGCTTTCCCCCTTAAAGAAGAGTGACGGGGGAAGATCGCCTGTGATTAATAACATCAGCATTAAATGGTCCTGATTAGCCTTTGAAGTTCACACATGTTTCACTGGGGTCAGTAGGTTGGGGAAGAGGGTCAGTGCCCGGCGCTGCCGGCGGCTCTGCGCGGGGCTGGGTTATCACCGTGTCACGCTGCCAGAGCCCGGCTCTGCCGCGGCACCGGGGCGGCGACACGCGGCATCAGCGCGCTTGCTTCTGGGGGGTGCGAAATTTGCAGAAAATTCCGAACGCGGCAAAAATTCTGAATTTCTCACAGCATTTTAAGCCAGCAGGGTCGCCCTGCCTCTAGAGTCAGCCCCATGAAGCGCCGCCTGACTCCGCTGCGTCAGAAGTGCACTTTCTGTACAGCTTTTAGGTGGCAGCAGGACAACTGGCTCCACATGTAAACGTGCTCTTTAGAAACTTGATGCATGATCGTTTTGAGCAAGACAGATACAACCATTCTCCCTCTGCACCCTTCTTCAGGACCTTTTCACAGCCCGCTCCCCCTCAAAAACAGCTGCTGCTTAAAAGACCGGCAGGTTAAAAACCATATTTGATGATACAAAGTATATCCTCTTACCTGTGGTACTAGGAGGAGCTGATGGCACTAAACTTAAAAGGATTTTAAACTCTATCTTCCCTTCCTCCAGCCAGCAAGGTTTGTTTATTTTTACATGACTTTCAGCTCAGACAGTGCAAACCAGACAGGTCCGTATTTTTATATGCATTATCTAAGCACTCGTTTGCCTGGCAGGCTGGAAGGGCCCTTCTGCTAAGTTATTACATGCACTGTGGTAGATAACTGTGTACTTCCCACTTCTGCATTCGCAATACACATGAATTAAGATTTTCCAAATAAAATACTTCATCTTTTATACGGCTGCCAAAGCCAGCTTGGAAAATAATGAGTTTATGCAACCTGTTTCTGCAAGCTGTATGTACCGCACACAGCAACGGCCAGGCTGAAAATCCCACAGCGCTGCCTGGAAAGTTCCTGGGCAGAAAAAAAAGGTCGGTGGCATCCGGGCAGGCAACGACTGAGCAAGTCAGAGGCTGCACTGCATTTCCAAGGGCAGGGGAAGCACGCAGGCAGCAACAGCAGCCCCCTTAGCATTAAACACTCCCCCACCCAGATGCACTGGCAACACAAAATAAATGTTGCTCCTCGTTATTAAATTTACTGCGACATCTCAACCAGCCTCCCTGTTATTAAATGTACTGCTACATCCCAACCAGCATCCCAGTTCAGACACAAATTCGGCATCGCGGGCCCACCTCTGACCAAAACCCTTGCAGAATGTCTCTCTTACATGTCCAAAGGGATCCAGGTGGTTGTTGGTGAGTTTTAGCTTCTGAAAGGACACCAGCTGCCGCATCCAGTGCGCTCCCGTGGCCGGTGAGTCGGGGTGCACGTACAGCCGCCCCGGCATGGCCGGCTCTGCCTTCCCAGCCACCATCCTGCAAACACAGCGGTTACAGATTGCATCACCTCGGCAGCAGTCACCTGCCCCGGACGTAGGAGAGCGTTTTGTCTTTGAACTCAACCCAGCAACCCTCCCGCCAGCCCTGAGGGGGGGACTCTGAGAGGCTCCTGCTGCTCGTGGGGTTTCAGGGCTCTTAATTTCAGCATCACGGGCTGGCAGAGTAACCCCGTCTCTGCTCCCGCGCGGCATTTCCTCGGGGCAGGGTCACTACGTGGCGACCGTGTTGGCACTGGTCAAGGAGGAGATCTCGCCTGGGTTTTTGGGGAGGATGAAGCCTTCAGAGGCCACTTTGCAAGGGGAGATTGTCTCACACGCTTCCCCAGGAGAAGGCACCCAGGAGCAGGAGTGGTACCAGCGTGGCCAGGCGGCAGCTCTGCTGGAAAGGGGCTGCTCCCCACTCCAGACCTGTGTCCTGGCACACGGTGCTGCCCCTCGTACCCTTCTGCCAGCTCCCCTTGTCCCCACGCCACCACCAAGTCTCACAGACACAAGACCCAGCCATGAGATATCACTTAATGGCAACTCCTCCATTACTGTGCATTGTTCTCCTCTTATAAAACATCAATAAAAACAATATTACCAAAACCAACAGAGACTTTCCAGCAGCAATAAATTGAAAAGGGGAAACAGCTCTAGGGCTGGCAAAAGCTAAATTAAACAGAGTTAACAACTATCCATCATCTAGGGCTTAATGGTTAAAACACAAAGTGGCTGCCGCACCGCAGAGGCCCTCAGTCCACTCCTCTTACCCAGCGGCACTCCAAGACAAAAGCGAGTGGAAAAGGGATTTTTTAAAACTAGAGCAGCCTTAATGTGCAAGTAAATTATTACAGTTTTATAGGATGTCACCAGGCTCCTTCCCATTAAGATGACTATGAAGTTTTCCATTGCTCATCTTTTCACCAGGCACCAGTCGGTGGAAGGGTTTGCGAAAAGCACAGCGAATAGTCGCAGTGAGGGAAACTGCTGGGTGTATTTGGGGTAAAAATCAAAAGAGAAAACACCACAATTCCTTTGTCAAAAAGCAAAAAACATAGCTGCCTCTTGGGTAAGACACTTTACTATCAAAGGCACAGGGAAGGGAAGAATAACAGAAGAGAAAGAAACTCCAGAGGAAGAATGAATTAAAAGAAAAAAAAGCTCTAAACTGGATCTGGCATTGGACTGCAATAGGGGGAATCGCTGCTCCCTTCGTCTGCTGGAGCAGCACGGCTGAACCAGGGCTTTGACTAAACCAATCCACATTTTGCTTTATAGCCGACTGCCTAAAAGCAAAATATTACTATAGAAGAAAGGAATTTAAAACTTTTATTGAGTCATGTAGATACCTAATTTTTAAGGCCAAAATGGACTATTAGATGATCTAGTCTGGCCTCTGGTACAACACAGGCTGTGGCTTTACCCTCTTGCACCTGCACATGGCCAGATAACCTGTGCTTGGCCTAAAACACCTCCTCTGAAAAGACATCCAGTCTTGAGCGCTTTGTAAACGAACAATCCACCACCTCCACTACCAGTTTGTTCCAGCAGTTAATCTCCCAGCCTGTTAAGAGTATTTTGGTTTAGAGTTGTCTGGTTTTCACTTCCCCATTGGCCTTTGTATCTATCGCTGCTCCACCGAAGAGAGCTCTGGGATGTTGACATCTCTGCCATAGGAAGGTATTTATGTTGGTTTCTGAGTTTGCACAGAATTTTCTGATGGAAAAAGAAGTCAAACAGAAATGTTCTCTTACCATTTGTTGTCACAGAATTTATACCGGTGGTCGTCAGCCGGGACGATGTCGATCAACAAGATGTACTTGGTCTTGGGGTTCATTCCGGTCACTTTGACCTTGTAACTAGGAAACATCCTCCTTAGGAAAAACAAAGAGTTAACACGTTAGTGAGCAACCTGGAGCCGTGCTGGAACTGATGGAAACTTGGAGCAGCACCCCAAAAAGCAGATCCACCATGTGATAAATTCACACCAAGACAAATGAGCTACAAACCATTATTGCTGCTTATACATCAACTGAATTAAACTCACTCTTTCCAGAAAATGAGCTGCACAGGGCTAGTGCAAAACGAGGCACAAATACAGATGAGGGCATATAGACTGGGGTTATGGGCCAGTGCCAGGAGAAGGTGCATGTAGAGAGAGATATGGTGGGGGGACAACACATCCCTCTTTACAGGATGCTCAGACAGGGAGCCCTCAGTACCCCAGGAGGCTCCACATGGCTTATGGCAGCCTCAAAAATGTAGATTTCTTGTTGCCATGAAAGTGCATGAAAAGTCATGAGGTCAGACTACACATCAAAAGAAACTAAGCACATGCAGCTTTCTCACTCCCATGTTCCCAAAGTCCACAACACCAAGTCCCACCCGTACTCTTACGCAATAGCTGAACCTGTGTTCCCTTCAACAGACTGAAAAACTGAGGATCAGTAAAGCCTGGGGGGAGACTAAGGGTTAAACCCTGCAGTGGTGTGGATAGCCACCACTCTGGCCTTCCCAAATTTCCCAAACTCACAGCATGCCTGTTAAAACTTGTTGGAGCCAGGAGCATGGCAGTGCTCCCCACTGAAAATGGCCTCGTCCCACTGATCTACCATTGACTTTAATGGACACGTAGCAGCCAACACCAAACAGGGAACGTCACATAAACCAGTGTATCACTAAAGAATGTTTACATAGCTCTTACATATCTAAAGAATCTTTGCAATATTAAATATTTCTGTATAAAGCTATGGCCATGAAACCAGTATATACCACTACGCTCTGGTCTTGCCATCCAAAGGAGATGGTCCTGGTGGGTACGGGTACTGTCGTGGGTTTCCCAAGCCCTCAAGACTGCATCAGGAGCCAGGAATTGCAGGATCGGGCGCTTCACATCCTCGGAGTAACTATTTTCTTGGCTTCATCTTCCCAACCTCCTCCTCATCCAGTAAAAAAACAAGTCAGTTGAGCAACCTGGCTCACCACAGCCAAGGAACTAGCCAGAACAGAAAATTGTCCTTTCCACCGGCATAAGGGGAAGGAGGATGAGAATTGCTACATCCTGGAGTCATTCTAATTACCCTAATTAACAAGGGCCCAAATCCTGATGTCGTTTCTCCATCGGATGTCGAGGCCACTTTGCCCCCCACCCTTTTTCCCTCCTCCCCCTGAGCGTTGCCCCCGCACCCAGCCGAGCTGGCCCGGGTCTGCAGCACCATTTTGTCGCTGCTTGGGGAGAAGGCAACAAAATGGGCCCTGTTCGAAATCATTTCAATTGACTCTTTTAACCGCCCTGCATAAATTCCAGATGTTTACCATGTAATTAGCTGGGACTAAAAAGGGGTGGTTTACCAATGTCCGTATTTGATTTTCATTCATAAACTCTACACTCCTCTTAACCTTGTCCTCCTACAGGTAAGCACCTGGATAAATACAGTAGGACATTTCAATTTGCGAATACACAGCCCAATTCACACATTGAAAAAAATTGCATAAGGAATCCAATCTGAATGCCAAGATTTATTTTTTTTTTAAATTAGGCCTTAAAATGACATTTAAAAATTAAACAAAAAAAAGAGGAGAAATTAATAAAAAAAAAAAAAAAAAAAGAGATGGACATGATTTGACAGTTACTGCATTGTACCAGGCAAACGTCCTGCATCGGGGATTTTTATAACATCTAGCTTCTGAATTTTTTTTTTCTCAATCATTTCATTTACTGTAGTACATCCAAGCTGCTAAAGTAGCTGGACTGATATATTGTAAATGTTAAGTGCTTTTTTAATGGCATTTAAAATTAAGCTTCAGCATATGGAGTTCATATAGCATGGACATGCCTGAGTTTATAATGTTCTTTAGTATAGCCCTCTAAAATAAATACAAAGAGCCAAAGTACTACTATAATATATACAGCTGAAATTCTTTAAGGATAACAAATGGGGACTCGCATCTGATTGAAGGTGTTGCTTAACTTGCAAACCACTCGCTATCTTGCAGTGGTAGCATTGTACTCGGCAGTCGACAAACCCAGCTACAACCAAGTTTGCCAATTCTCCGCATTCTTTTCCAGGAAAACACAGGGTAGATTTTAGCAATTTGGCTGTGCATGGACATTTCATCATTATTATTAGCTGCTGCATTTTGGCCTTTAAAAAAAAATATGCTACTAATGTGCTGTCCAGGGACTTGTCAGTTTAATTTTCTTAATGAAAACATATTTCTCAACCCCTTGGCAGAGACTCATTTAGTAAATATCTCTTTGCAATACGATACAAACACGGGTTGTGCATTTCTGGTGGGAAGGCATGACAAACCGAAGAGCTGGGTCCAAGAAAATGCAGTCATAGACTTTCAACTTAAAAAAAAAAAAAAAAAAAAGCAAGAGAGCGCACCTAATATCATGTCCTGGCCTTTATTAAATGTCCTGTTTGAGAGGGGAGCAGAAAACCACGGCAGAGGCACCGGGCTGCACCAACGCTGCCTGGGAGCCAGGCCGTGCCTACAGTGGGTCTATACAGCTCCCCGTCAGCCCTGGGAAGGGGCCAAAAACCTGCCCGCTTCCCCAGATTTACTACAGGTCAATGGAGCTACTCACAGCCATGGGCTCTACACTCAGTAGTAGCTTTGCATAACCAGCCCCTCTGCCAAATCTCTGCAGGCAGGAGCTCTCGGGCGGATGGGCGGCTCCGCAGAGGATGCTTCGCTTCGGCCAGCTTTCCCTGACAATAGCTTGCTTCATCATCTATTGCTCGGGGACCAGCAGCGGCAGAAGAATAACCCAGTGCTGCAATAAAAACTTGCCAATGTCTTGCCAAGCTCTGGGAAAGCTCAGCTTGGCTTTGGTGGGAGGTCTGAAACAAGACCCGGGCAGATCCACATTTTATCCACCCTCCTTCCCACTGCCACGCATGAGTCCAAACTGAGTGAGAGCTTCGCTGCGAGGAAACTGGTTACAAAAATTGGGAATCTGGGGCTTTCTGGGGAGTGCATCCAAGCAGGCGACGCCTCCTGCACCAAGGGTTGCTGCAGCCCTGCAAACGGGGAAGCTCAACGAGGTTAATCACCGGGCACACGTGCAGCACAGGATAAGCCAACTATTAGGTGAAGTTTAAGCCACCAGTAATCAGGATATTAAGAACAACAATTCCTGGCCTCATCATCTTTGTTCAGACCCAAAGCTTGGTCGGACACAGTGTCCGAGGGCTGCAGCAAATGTCCTGAACGTCCAAACGCCACCGCCATCCCTGGATGGGACCAATTTCTTCCCCTTCATGCTTTTTTTTTTTTTTTTTTTTTCCTTCCCGAAAGCCACACAAGCTGTGTGTGTAACCCACCAGCACGCATGAGGTGCGATGGCTGCTCCCAGCCAACACGGGGCACGAGCCACAAGCCCACGAGCCCACGGCGTGCCTGTGTGACAGCCGGCGATGCCCAAGGCAGGGACACAGCACAAGCAGCCAAGCATCAGCCCCGACAGCCTCTTCTTCTGCAAAACACCAAGTCAGTAAGACTCCAGTTTCGGACACATTCAAAACCCGCTTCTCCCTCCAGCTCAAGCCAGCAAAGAAGGGCCCATCCAGGCCCCTCAGCACCATCCTGATGGTCCCTCAGAGCTCTCTGCTGGGTTCGGTGGCGCTGGCAGGCACTGGCAGGGGCACAGCACCGCTGTGCGATGGCAGCACTGCCCTTCCGAAGGGAAAACTTAAATCAGTTTTTATGTTCACACAAGAAAGCTGCCCTCAAAGAAAGCATTCACAGGAGAAAGGCTGCAGTGCCTCACTCCTATGCAAGCTGGACCTCTGCTGTGGCATTAAAATACCACAGTCTGGCACCCAGTCGCTGGGGGCCGGAGTGCAGGGTGATGCCCTGGGGAGGGCAAAGGGGCTGAGCCTGGCTCTGGGGACCACGAGCGGTGGGAGCGGGGACAGTGTCACCCAGGCTTGGCACCACACTGCCACAGCCTCAGCTAAACTCTTCCCTGCAGCTCTGCGCAGATGAAATGTAGCAAAAACAGTAAAAGCCAGGAAAATAAACAAGCAGCACAATTCTGTAGCCCTCCCAAGCTTCAAAGATGATGTGAGAGTGAATTATTTGTTCTGATAATGAAGCAGTCATTGCTTAGCTAAGTTTATGCTAGGCACATTTTATCTCTACATGATATTCACAAATTGTTTTAAAATGAACTGTTAGAATAAGCATCTCTTGTTTATTTATTTATTCTATTACTATCCAATCCCCTTAACCATGGAGCAGTTACTGACATGGAGCCAAAGCTTCTATTATGTTCAAACAAAGTTTAATTAATGTGTAATTGGTTGGTTGGATTTGGAAGAGAGTGATAAGAAGAAAGCTGTGCTTTCGTTTAGGGCAGCAGTTCCCAGCCTCTCGGGCTCTCCAGGCTTGGCCACTCCATGGGCATCTTGTGTTTTAATCCCCATGTGAGCAGGCCTGGTTGGTCCTGAAGAACTGGGTGACTGCAAGGTTCCCAGGTCCAATGAAGTCTTATTTTTGCACAGGTGATAGCAATCCAGCCCAGCTGGAAAAGCCGAGAGCATCAGAGCTGATCAAAGAGCTCACAACCCTCATCTGAGCATCGCCTGCCCCGTGCCACGCTGCACGCCGGGACCTGTGTGTCCCAGGGATGCTGGCTCATGCCTTGGTACTGCTGGGTGACAAGGTGGCCTCTGCAAACCCCTTGGGCTTCACCCCCTTCCTGCTCACAAGGATTTGATCTGACATTCCATGCTTGGCCTCAAACACGATTTCTGACGCTCCTGCTGATGCATTAGCTGGGAAGGGGTTTCTCTGACCAGCACGTGGTAAGCAGGGGAACTCAACTGGTATTTCGGTGGAGAAAACTGCACAGAAACAAGAC